TGGTCATGTGGGGCTAATTAAGAACCAATGCGTTCCGGTAGGAAGAATCCAAACACAAATTACAACAACGGTATTACCCATGTTTTTTTGCTAGTGGTTTGACCTAAGGTGTCCCAGGGTTGGTCAACAGTGGTGTCGCCATGTGTTCGAATTTGGTAAGCCAGCGCCCCGCATGAAAGAGTTTGTTTGGGGCAGTGTTCTGTGGATGAGCATGCAGCTGTGGTTGGTCGACATGCACTTGCAATGCTTTGAGATCCATGTATGTATGTACATTAGCTAAGTCAGCATTCTGAGTATATAATGTATCATACTAACACCACAACACAATAAGCTTATATATGTTGGATTGTACAAACAGCTATAAAGCAACTCACTGCATGGCTGGTTATTAGAGCGTCGGTAGACGCTCTATATAGGATCCCATATAGGGATGGCGCGGATGAATCTCACGTGATCCGCGTACAAACGACTAATAACTCGGTGAGAATCACTCCCTTGTCCTTGCAATAGTCTACGGGCCCATAACTACCTATACATGTGTCCCAAAGACCTCATACGCACTTCAGTCGTCACACGCAAGAATTCGCTCATACGCGATTTCGTGCGAATTCCAAAGATTACTATCAAACTCTACAACTTTGGTTTCAGTCATTGGCTCATAATAGGCTGGTTTTGCCTTATACTGTATATGCTGTGATCTCCGTGGGTATTTTCCCTGGCTTACTAATATAACCATGGTGTTTTGCAGTGAAATCATTGTTGTTTTAAACACACACACACACACACACCTCAGACTGTCCTCCGTCAGGGACCCCTTCTACTCACTCTCCTGACCCTCAATTTACATACCTTCATTTTCCTCGACACTACCCCGACCACTGGCCTCTCTCCTGGAGTGGGTAGTGATTTCTATCTTCTGCTTCATCCCCACACCTCTCTGCCCTGCCCACTCCTTCATTGGTCCGACTCCAACACCACCATCACTGACTCTGCCTCGGGTGTTCAGTCTATACTGACAATAGTCGATGTGTCTCTGCTCTACTCCTAGTCTCTCTCATTTAGTCAATAGTGTGTTCTTACTAGTCAAATCCTATCACTTTTTACACCTTGTTTCTCTCATTTGTAAATGCTAAAATGTCATGGAATACCAAATTCATGATGATGTCACTTTAGTTATTTAGCATGTGAGCGACCTTTTCTGCATTCTGCCGATTTGCACTTTAGTATACAGTGCAAAGAATAGGCAATTAACCCTTTGGGCACCATAGTTGTCTCGTTAAATAGCAGAAATTGATGTATAACATATTAGCGCCTAGTATTATAGCCATATAATAATTCTTATGCACTTATGGAGGCTCTGTGCATTTGTAAAACGCGCCCAAAGGATTAAAGAAGATGATTATGGGCATTAACCATTTAAAGCAGAGATACACGAAGTCAAAAGAATTATAGGATGATATTATGCTGTGGGTTGTGTTGATCTCATTTGTAAAATGTTATATGGAATACCTAATTTTTAACCCTCGGCGCGCATGCGCAGCGAGGGTTACAGTAGTCGTTCTGTCTGTCCGTCTGTCTGTCCGCGCGAGTTCTAGCACTGCAGGCTACGAGGCGGCCAATGAGTGGCACCAACGGGTTGTGAACGACGAGGAGATTGATATTAATGCGGCGATTTTACCGAAACGACTGCGTTCCAGAGATATGGCGTGAAAACAAGCGAAAAGCCAACGCGCGGTCGATGGCGCACGCGCCCTCTCCTGCAGGCTAGCTATAAGCTATATAGCGCGTACGCGTCATGTCAATTAATCGCCGGAGCATGCGCTACGCCACGTTGGTTGTATATACGATCCACGGCCTCCTGTCAGTTTTGATCTCTGTTCCCTATGGATAAACGATAAACATGCTGAGCAAGGTATGTTCGCAATGTAGCATAATAATTATTAGTTCAGGTGGCGAGCAGTTTGTGGTTGCGGCCTTGCCTTCCCATCTATAAAACGTCTGGCGAGAGCATTGAAACACAGAAGAGTGGATAGATTGAATATGAGAGCCTCTGAAACACCTGAGCTATTGCTCTAACCGCTAATGCAACTACCCTGTCTTACGGTGAGACTCGTGTTACTGGCTCCGTCGATGATGCACGGCCCAGATGCTACAACTCGCTAGTTTACCGCCGAGGGTTTGCACTTTAGTGCTTTTCATTTACACAGTTCTTGGGCATGCGAGCGACCTTTTCTTGCATTCTGCTGATTGCACTTCAGTATATTCAGTGGTATATACCCCTCTGAACAAAGGACACTGTGGGGCCAATGATTTTGTCCCTTGTAGAGAGGTCGTCCCTATCTCGGAGGTCAAATAGTACACTAAACAAGTATATATTAGAAACATAGGGATGTCATCCCTGTCTCGGAAGGTCCCTTATCAGAGGTTCCACAAAGTAAGGCATACATAATAGTTAGACGCTGATTCGAGGTAACTACGCGCAGTAGAAAGCCGAGAGCCCCGGCATTTTGGCGCCCCGAGCGCAGCGAGGGCGCTACCCCCGGGGCACGAGGCTTTAACCGGTGCGTAGTTACTGAGGAATCAGCGTCTAACTATTTTAGGGTGAGCGCTCATATCTATAATATAGCTGTAGTCCTGCATCCGTCCTGTGAGGATGTCGTGTAAAGTATAATGGCATTAAAGATCGAGCGTCGGTAGACGCTCTAAGAGTGAAATCTCACGTGATCCGCGCATAAAACGTCTAAAAACTCGGTGAGAATGACTCCCTAGACCTTCAAAACACACTAGCAATAGTCTACGGACCCATATCTACCTATACATGCTCGCAATTCGCTCCAATTTCGCCGGAGGTGTGCACGGACATCAAGCGATCGTTTCTTTTTTGCCGCAAGACACTACGGTAGATCATGGAGCTCTTCCATGGTCGACATACCAGTAAAATTGCCATTTGCTGCTAATTCAGCATCAGTGAGCAGCGCGCATGAGCAAGGCCGGGGCGTTGTCCAATCCGCTGTGCGCGCGTATTACCAGGTGAGTTGACAGACCTGCAGAGAAACTCTCAGCCTCCAGTGCCTTCTGTAAGTCAGTGTGCACATTTCCAACTGGCTAGCTTGCGTTTTGCTGTTGATTTGCACGAGGAGCAACTTGGCAGAGTCGATCAGCGCAGTGTTACGCTGGCATTGCTGGGCGCACACACAAATGGGCCTTCATTGTTCGACCTCAAGTTGTAGCCTGATTACCAAAGCCTGCTCATGAAACCACAACCATGTGCCATAGCCTAATTACATCCTTGTTGAAGACAATATCTGAGGTGAATATGGTATCTAACTCCTGCTCAGGCACTAGCAGCCCACTAGCTACAGCTTTCAACAATTACAGTTTGTCCTTGGTAACCTATCCACAACATACCCATGAACATCAGAGTGACTGTAACAATAAAATGCAATGTTGTCATAAGCTGTTAAAAATAGCGGAACAAGTGGAAAAATCATTTCTTCAAAATGAAGGGGGATATAGGCATGACTTGAAGCACCAAAAAGGAAGAAACAAGGGGTCATTACACAGCAAAGATGCACAAAGCTACATGACACCATCCCTATATCTTTGTTTTATTGTTCATAAGCAAAGTTTAATATCGAACCACGTGACAAAAACGCGTGACTTTTTGGTCCCTGTTCCTTGACTGAAACTAATCCTCTTTTTGCACAGAGCCTGGAGTTATTATACATAGCTATAAATTATAGAGATGTGCTGTTTGTATTCAGACTAGTTGACTCCACTTAACAACCATGCAGTCCAACTAAATAATGAGCTAATGGAACTGGACAAATATAATTTGCCAAATAAATGTAACAAAAGCATATTTGGCAGACATCCTAATTATATCTACGAGCCCCAAAACACCATCCATACATTGATCTTTAGTCAGTTACAGTGTCTGATGAATTTCCCTCTAGCCCTAGCTAATGGAACTGGACAAATATAATTTGTCAAATAAATGTCACAGAAAGTATATTTGGCAGACATCCTAATATCTATAATCCAAAAACACCATCCATTCATTAATCAGTTACAGAGTGTCTGATGCATTTCTCTCTATATAGAGCTAGACTCTGAAGCAGATGCCACTTTTTCCAGAGATTTTATTGCTGTAAAATTAGTTATCAACTCGCTGGATCACTGAGAGGATGAAAAGGACTGTTCTGCTGGTCTTGTGTCTAGTGACACTGTCTAATATACAGCTGGGACAGTCTCAATCTGATGGTAAGTATATATAAACGATAAAATGATTGGTATCAATATTCACTGTGTGGGCTACAGTTGCTGGGATTGCAGCAGCTGTGTTCAAAACTCTGTGCCCGATCTTGAATGAGTTGAAGGAAGACATTAGCTGTGTGAAGAGTGAAATAGCCAATCTCAGTGAGACAGTCAGTCATCTAGCTGAGCAACTGGAAGACCACAAGAATGAAACTGCATCTGAACTGGTCGATCTTAGGTCCTCAGTCAACTCTGAATTAGCTAATCTGGGATCCTCTCTCCAGTCCATGATTGATAATCCACCAACTGAGGCAGTGCGTAGTGCTGTATTGAGGGCTCTACTGCCATATGTGAACAACATGGAGTATAATATAAAGACAGAGCTGGGGCAGTTGGTTGGGAGAGATCTTCTGCTATCAATGAGACACTGAGGCAGCAGCTTGGTTTGATGAACAGCTCCATGAGAGATGATCTCAACTGTGTCAAGACTGAGTTAAGCCGTGTCAATGAAATCATCAGTGATCTAGGTGGACACCTACAGACACACAGCCAGCAAACTACATCTGCAGTGGCTCAACTTGACACTAGACTGAGTTCTCTGAACGAATCAATGAGAGATGACTTCAGTGGTGTTGAGAGAGGGTTAAATGGTGTCAGTAACACATTATGTGACAAAATTGAGGAACATGAGACTGCAATGACAACAGAGTTAAACGAAATGAAGAAGAATCTAACACAGCAAATTAGTGGTTACACATATTTTTGTGGAGGAACATGGGGTTGGAGACGTGCAGTCTACCTGGATATGACAGACCCCAACACCAACTGTCCCTCTGGCTGGCAGCTCACTGGATACTCCAAGAGAACTTGTGGCAGAGTTAGTACTGATTATTATACTTGTGACTCAGTCTTCTTCCCTGTCAGTGGAGGACCATACAGTCAGGTATGTGGTAGGATCAGAGCCTACCAGTACGGACTACCAGAAGCCTTCTATGGGTATAACAATGGTGGACAAACTACAATTGACAGTGTGTATGTCAGTGGTGTGGCTGTAATGCATGGGAGTCCTCAACAGCACATCTGGACATTTGCTAGTGGAGTATGGGAGAATGGCGCACCAACAGAAACCTATAACTGTCCTTGTGACATTAGTGCTAATATATCGATCCCACCATTTGTTGGAGAAGATTACTTCTGTGAGTCTGGGTATGTATATGGCAGTGGTATACAAGGCAGACTCCACTCCAGTGACACTCTCTGGGATGGTGAAGACTGTCACTCCACCAGTACATGTTGCTCTCTCCACAATCCTCCATATTTCACCAAAACCCTCAGCCAGACAACTACCGATGATCTCGAGCTGAGAATGTGTCTCAAAGACCACATAACTACTTCTGACAACATAGCAGTGGAACTGGTTGAGTTGTATGTAAAGTAGCTAGACTGAAGTTGCCAAACAACATTCTTTGTGTTTGTCACTAGCTAGCACAGTTTCGCGGAAAGAAAGTCAAAGTCTCATATCAGAGCGTCCGGCGGTAGACGCTCTATATAGGAATGACACGAGTGAAATCTCACGTGATCCACGTACAAAACGCCTCAAAACTCAGCGACAATGACTCACCATGGCTTCAAAATCACTAGCAATAGTCTAGAAGCCAATACTATATGCCCCAAGACTTCCTACGTGCCCTCAGTTCCCCATGAGAGAATTCGCACTTACGCGATTTCGCGATTTTCGTGTCATCATAATCATCATATTCTTCTTCTTACGTTTTGCTAATGTTATTCAGAGGTTTGTTGGTAGGCATTATTCCTAGATCCCAATTTTGCTGAGAAATTTGGCAATCAGTTACAACCTTCAGCTGAATGTAACAAAATTGGGATCTAGGAATAATGCCTACCAACAAACCTCTGAATAGCATTAGCTTTCAGCTATATGTTGCTGTGAGCCGTGAGCTGTTACAAACATGCATGAACCTAACCTAGTTTTTCAGGTTTCAGAAAAGTGTGAGCAAAACGAAGCTGAAACTACAGACAGAAAAGTTGCCAGACCTCATTTCTGGTCTCAGTTTTCTTCTGTAACCTTAAAGTTAGTTCACATGCAGAATATTTAGATATCACATTATTTATAAAGCTGGAAGCGGAAAATTAGTGAATGAATCTAGACTTTTCGTTTCTGCTAGACCTGAAAGCAGAATGGCTGTAAGGTACATTCACCCAGCTGCCCACTGTCTCTACAAACACATTGTGACACACGACTACAGAACCGAAAAGGTCAAGAAGTGGCACGCACACGCGTGCCCTGAGTTACACAACTGAACATAACAATGATGTAACACGTTATATACACACATGGGCAATACACAATCAACGGTAATATGATGTTAGTGACCATACACACATACAGATCATATCTAGAACCTACACTTTTACAGCAGAGCATACAGATTAATGCACAGTAATTCAGGTACAGCAACCCCCATACAGCTTACACAGAGAACACTTATGCATACCCAAGCATACATAGAACGTACATAGTTTAGCATACATTATAACAGTTCAACTGTCACAGGGGCATTCACTTTACATGCTGCTTCAGCTTTAGGCAATCGCTAAGGCTACAAGTAATTTAAAAATCCTGCGAATTTGAAAAAGAGGCATATAGGAAAGAAAAGGAGACAAGATAGGGATGGGATACATGACACATGGTTAATAAACATATTTGAGCACGCTGAAACCCCGATCCCATCACACAATCCCTATATTGTTGCCTAGGTGAAGTATTAAACATTCACCATTACAATACTCAGAACTTATAATACAAAAAAGTCATGCTACTGAGTAACCAACACCCTTATAGAGTCCAAGTGGAGTTTACTTAAAGGGAATGTGGCAGTATAAATGTTACTAAAAACAACAGGGACACAGTGAAAGAATGCTTGCTTTTTAGTAACCTTTAGCTCTTATAATGCCACATTCCCTATAAGATTTGCACACCAGACAACAATATAGGGATTGTGTGATGGGGTTGGGGGTGTCAGCGTACTCAAATCTGTTTATTAACCATGCTTCATCCCTATCTTGTCTCCCTTTCTTTTTATACCATCCAATTAATTGCCTCCTTTTTTTTTTTTATTTGCAGGATTTTTAATTTATTTGTATACTAAGTACTACCATACTTAGTGATTCTGCATTGAAAATGAGCATGAGTGGAAACCAACACACTCCTCCTTCATTAATGTTAGCCTTTTAACCCAGGCTTTCCCCGGGTTAAAAGGCTGGGTTCCATTACACTCACAATCCTTGTATGTGGATGATTTTGTTCCCCTTTTTGTGGAGCTCACCTAGATACACAGGGGGCTATATAACCCCTATCTCCCCCCTCCCCTTTTAAATCAGCAACTATTGATGTGCTGATATACTAGGGACACAATGCTTCGGATTTTAGTTTAAGCTATTAGAGAGTCGGTAGACTCTCTATATAGGGATGACACGGGTGAAATCTCACGTGATCCGCGTACAAAACGACTAAAAACTCGGTGAGAATCACTCCCTAGGCCTTCAAAACATACTAGCAATAGTCTACGGGCCCATATCTACCTATACATGTCCCCCAAGACCTCATACGCACCTCCAGTCGTCCACGGGAGAATTCGCTCATACGCGATTTCACGATTTTCGTGTCATCTTCTTCTTCTTCTTCTTTAAACCCGCTATCTCCTTACCAGTACCAGTTCAAGCACTGATTTTTTCACTGAAGGTCTCCAATTTCGCCGGAGGTGTGCACGGACATCAAGCGATCGTTTCTTTCTTGCCGCTAGTCACTACGGTAGATCATGGAGCTCTTCCTTGGTCGACACTGAACAACGCCATTTGCTGCTTACTCAGCATCGGTGAGCCTCGCGCATGCGCGAGGCAGGGGCGTTGTCCAATGCGCTTGCGAGCGTATTACCAGGCGAGTTGGCAGACCTGCAGAGAAACTCTCAACCTCCAGTACCTTCTGTAAGTAAGTGTGCACATTTCCAACTGGCTAGCTTGCTGTTGATTTGCACGAAGAGCAACTTGCCAGAGTCTACGCTGTGTTACGCGAGCCTCGCGGGGCACTCAGTCAAACGGGCCTGCATTGTTTGTCCCCCCAGGTTGTAGCCTGATTACCAAAGCCTGCCCATGAAACCACAACCATGTGCAATAATCTAATTACATCCTTGTTGAAGACAATACCTGAGGTGAATGCGGTATCTAGCCCCTGCTTCAGGCACCATTATAGCTACTACTTTCAACAGTTACAATTTGTCTATGGTAGCCTATCTACAACATACCCATGAACATCAGAGTGACTATAACAATGAAAAGCACTGAAGTGCAAACCCTCGGCGTTCTGTGACGCGCACGCGTAAGTAAACGCATGCGCCGTACTACTAATTGCTGGGCTGGGTTTAGTTTTAGCTGTTACCCGTGGTCTCTTGCCAGCTCGCGCAGAGTCTGACGCGGGCTAACTACACTACTAGATAGCATGCGAGAGGCGATACACGCCATGCGTTGCATCTTCTGGTGCCTCCGAGGTACGCAGAGCACGCGGATCGATCATGCCGTAGTAAGCCGTTGTGTATTTGCATATTGGCTTTTTCGCGCTCTAGCTCTGCAACGGAGCGTTTTCAGCGAAAACCCCACATATTTTCTGACCTTCATTGCCCGTTCAGTAGGTGGTATCCTTTGTGAGACGAACGAACACTCGAGAAGTGAGATGACGAGTAACAGACACACAGACAGACAGACAGACAGACAAACCCAACTACCGTAACCCTCGCTGCGCATGCGCGCCGAGGGTTAATAAATGTAGTGTTGTCATAAGCTGTTAAAAAAATAGAGGAAACAAGTGGAAAAATCATTTCTTCAAAATGAAAGGGGGATATAGGGATGGCTTGAAGCACCAAAAAGGAAGAAACAAGGGGTCATTACACTGCAAAGTTGCACAAAGCTACATGACACCATCCCTATATCTTTGTTTTATTGTTTATAAGCAAAGTTTAACCCTTTGGACACCATGGGTATCTCCTTAAATAAGCAGAAATTGATGTATAATATATTAACGCCTAGTATTATAGACATAATAATACATTCTTATGGACTTATGGAGGCTCTGGGCATATACATGCCCGTGGCTTGCTAAGGGTTAATATCAAACAAAGATATAGGGATGGTGTCATGTAGCTTTGTGCAACTTTGCTGTGTAATGACCCCTTGTTTCTTCCTTTTTGGTGCTTCAAGCCATCCCTATATCCCCCTTTCATTTTGAAGAAATGATTTTTCCACTTGTAAAAGGTGCTGACAGCGTGCATAAATCAGTTTGAGTGAAAAGAGCAAAATGAGGAACTGTTCAACATATCTATAGTACTCCAGTTTAACATGGATGTGTTGATGGGTTTCCTCATCTTTTCCTTCCTGGTCTGTTTGAACCAGAAAAGTGTTGCTTTAGAACAAACACTGACCTTTTGGGAGAATATCTGGTGCTGGTGCTAAGACTGTATCCTTACTCTCTGCAACTGACCACATCCGTTTGAACTAGGAGCTTCTATATAGACTGATGGGGAGTAAAGCCTACCTAGCTATGTAGTTGTCTCAATGCATATTGGTGCCTGAGCAAAGTGAGCCTATGCATAGTCATCTGAATACGAGAATGTGTCAGGCCGGTGTACACTGTCATGCAAACCGTGTGTGCTTGCAAAGCTATCCGACACTATGTATGACACCGTAATGTTAACAGGAGTATAATATTTTCAACAACAGAGTTCATCTTCATTGGTGTTTGCTTTGTGGTAGTTTTCCTCTTCACTGGGATATTATTGCCTACTGTCAGAAAGAGATCAAAAGTAAAGGGGAATCCACCTGGATCGGTTTCTACTAGTACTGCTACGTAGGACACTATTATTTCTATGGAGACACTAAACAAGATGAGCTTGGATGTGAGCAGACACCAAGCACCTTTCTTCCAGTGCGTGAGAATAAGAGCAATTATGAGGAAAAGGCACAAATGACGGGGAAAGTTGGGAAGAATGAAACGACTACCAACGGAAAAGCAGGAAGTGGAACAAAATCTACTGCTCTGACTACAACTCAACAACAAGATAAAGAGAGAAAAAGGACAATGAATAAACTAACTGTAGATCTGCCAACTCTCTCTCAACTGCCTCCGAAAAATCCCACTGTCAATATCAATGAAAATGAAAGCAGAGTTTCTTGCCACTTCGGTCCAGAGCATGGGGAAGGGAATAGTGGCAGCGAAGACACAACGAAAGTGGAAGGTGAGAAGAAAAAGAGAGCTCCTGCTCAAGATAAAGAGACAAAGGGGAGATTAAATAAACGAACCTATGATCTGCCAACTCTCTCTAAACTGCCTTCGAAAGATCCCACTGTCAACATCAATGAAAATGAAAGTCCAGAGCATGGGGAAGGGAATAGTGGCAGCAAAGACAAAACGAAAGTGGAAGGTGGGAAGAAAAAGAGGGCTCCTGCTCCTTCTGCTCCTCCTGTTGGGGCCGTAAAACCGAAAAAAGATGGTGGTAAAGAACGAGTCACCAACCCCCCCAAAACTCAACCTAATCGAAGAGATGCTCATGCACCACAAAACAACGCACAGAACGACAAGCAAAGTACACAGAACAAAAGCAACAAAGCTTCTGCCACGACTTCCCCTCCAAGTAGGAATAGAAGGAGTTCCTCCTTTAGTCCAGGTCATCCACCCCCACCACCTCCACCCAATAATGGCAAAAGAACCCCTGCTGTTACATCTTCGTCCAGTAATAATGCAGCAGCCACTGCTAGAACCCCTTCTAGTACTTCCCCCAGCGCTACTCGGAGTCCTACATCTCAATCACAACATGGTGCTAGACCTAAAAAAACATAAGTAAACATACCACTTTGCTTAATTACTGTAATGTTTAACCATAATTGAAATTGACTTTTTATTGAGCACATGAATCATGAGCGAAGTATGCAAGCGCAACTCAACAACACCCAGGACATACCCAGAAGAAGGGAGAATTTGCAGTTAGGCAGAGTGCTGTTAATTATATACCTGCTACCGAGGCAGCTTAGGTGGCAGGCAAGCCCCAAATCGCACACATACATACGTCGTGACGATCAGTTAGTTTGTGTGTGCAGCAGGAATAGAGCTAGACTCATTAGGTTTCAGGCTCCCTTCAAATCTTCAAAGTATGTATATTATAGTACTGGCAACAATGGTTAGGTATTAACCTGCTGAAACCTATAGTTTCAGAGGAAGTTCATAAAGACAACAGAGGATGCGGTGGTTTTTATTCCGTCATTATGCATGAAACGCTTAGCTACTGCGCATGTGCAGAAAGCCGCAGTTAGTTATAAAAGCCGGCGCACGAACAACTCCGCCATTTCAATCGCTGTTCATGCTGAGATGGGCTATAGTATACAGGATAACCTCCTCCGAGTTCTTCTCTGCTGCTGCCTGTGGCTGCTTCGGCCGTCGCTTGGTATGCCGACGGTGCAGACCCTCGGCGAAATTACTATGAGACGACTAAACTGGACGAGAGAGGGCGTTTCTGGCTACACGGCAAGGTAAAGCTATAATAATAGCATTTCATTTATCATCTGTTTTTACTTCTTACTCCTATGCCACAGTGAGCCGTTGTACGTGGTGTTGTACGATATCCTAAAGTTTCAGTGCGAAGAACGGAGCACCGATTTTGTATACTTACTGCGGGTAAGATAGCCATGGAATAGTCTAGGAGTGATCCGCAGACTATTATTATAGTGCCTTTTCACATAGTTACACACTCAAAGAGTTGCACTGTGTCAACTACTAGGTATATAGCGACATAGAAAGGCAAGGAAAAGCAAACAAGCCAACTACACCAAGCTCAGAGAGCTCTTTCTCGAAGAGCTGCCCTGTGGAACTCAAACTCACGACAGTCTGCATGTACAATAGTACTGCTGCTGTTATGTTAGTGTCGTCTTTATCCTTTCACAGGAAGATGCATACAAAAATGTCAGTGATGCTTGCAGTTCATCAGGGATTGTGGAAGAATCGACCTTGAGCTCTCTGTGCAGACCGCGGCCCATCGCCGACTGCAGACAGACCCAACCAGAGAAGAGAGTGGACGGAGCAAATCAACTGCCAGTTCTTGCTACATTGCAAGCTTCATACCTGGCACGTCGTACTACCTGGCAAGTAAGTCTCAATTCTCTTGCTCTACATAGGCCCATAGCTAGTTATGTGCAGCATGAACATTTTATATTATTAACTTTGTCATTTCTGTCCCCAGGTTTCCCATCTAGTGGAGATAAAAGTCGATGTCTGTTTGCTTTGCCATTGAAAGTGTGTCCACTGTATGATTCAGGTTAGTCTTCAGTGACTGTACCCATGTACATAGGGACTATTTTTACTTACATCATTTCCTCCATTAAAGCGGAATTGTGTCTTTGAACTTCCCTGCAAAGATTACTATCAAAACTCTACAACTTGTGGTTTCTGTCATTTAGGCTGGTTTTGCCTTATACTGTATATACTGGGATCTCCGTGGGTATTTCCCTCATGGCTTACCATGGTGTTGTTTCATTGTTGTTTTAAACACACACACACACACACACACACACACACACCTCAGACTGTCCTCCGTCAGGGACCCCTTCTACTCCATCCCCCTCACCCTCAATTACAACCTTCATTTCCTCGACACTACCCCCGACCACTGGCCTCTCTCCTGGAAGTGGTAGTGGATTTCTATCTTCTGCTCCAGCCCCCACCACCTCCTCCCTGCCCACTCCTTCATTGGTCCCGACTCCCACCACCATCACTGACTCTGCCTCGGGTGTTCATTCTATGCTGACAATAGTTGTGTGTCTCTGCGCTCTACTACTAGTCTCTTTCTTTAGTCAATAGTGTGTTCTTACTAGTCAAATTTCATTACTTTTTAAACCTTGTTCTCATTTGTAATAAATTATTATGATATTATCATGGAATGCATAATTCATAATGATTGTTGGGCATGCAGTTAGCTATTGGGCATCCGAGCGACCTGTTCTTGCATTATGCTGATTTGTACTTTAGCAGTAAGGCATAATAATATAGCACTTAACAGACGATATCTCTGAGTTCTCAACATAAATACTATTATAATGAAAAGCACTGAAGTGCAAACCCTCGGCGTTCTGTGACGCGCACGCGTAAGTAAACGCATGCGCCGTACTACTAATTGCTGGGCTGGGTTTAGTTTTAGCTGTTACCCGTGGTCTCTTGCCAGCTCGCGCAGAGTCTGACGCGGGCTAACTACACTACTAGATAGCATGCGAGAGGCGATACACGCCATGCGTTGCATCTTCTGGTGCCTCCGAGGTACGCAGAGCACGCGGATCGATCATGCCGTAGTAAGCCGTTGTGTATTTGCATATTGGCTTTTTCGCGCTCTAGCTCTGCAACGGAGCGTTTTCAGCGAAAACCCCACATATTTTCTGACCTTCATTGCCCGTTCAGTAGGTGGTATCCTTTGTGAGACGAACGAACACTCGAGAAGTGAGATGACGAGTAACAGACACACAGACAGACAAACCCAACTACCGTAACCCTCGCTGCGCATGCGCGCCGAGGGTTAATAACAATTTCCTTGCTTGATGATATAGGAGTTGTTACCTTTAGTGACGTCTGCACACTCGGTACCAGCCTTTGCTTCACAGGTAAAGTATAATTATGTGTATCATTAACCATGAACCATGATACAAAGCCTAAAAGAACTGCAGGATGATAGGTTGCTGTGGGTAATCATTCCCATGTAGCTGTCCTTCCTGCGAGGATGTAGTGTAGAGTAGTGGTCAGTTGAGAGTACATAGTTGTAAACTCGCATGCACAGAAATCGTATAATATGCGATTATATGTAATCTGGACACCTTTCGCTATTTGCGCTCCTCCAACAAAACCATCGGGGAAGAGACGTAGAATGGTGAATGCCGCGGTCTACTGCTGCCGTTGACTGCGTGATGCTGGGCTGTCGAATATGTGGGAAACTAGACCCCGAACGGTGTCAGGAACTGCACCACGTAAGCCCTCAGCCGGACCGGAATAGCTGTATAACAGCCTAGCTACGTGAGCAGTGCGGTACTGTGTAACTGCTTTATAGTCTCATCATCTTACGTAGGAAATCCTTGGAAGTAATGCTTGCAGATGTTCTTACCAATAATTATAACAGATGTAACGAGAGTGCCTCAAGACTGGTGACTGTCTGGATTCAAATAGCACTGGTCAAACAGTCATTGAATATGAACCTGGAAATTACTATATACTATTTCTACAGTCAGTCAAACACATGGACATTAAAGAAGTCAACTCTTAAAATTCTTTCTCTCAGGTTCAGCTGATGGACCAGGAGAACCTCCATGCCAGTGGTTGGATGCTCAAGATGATTGTCTCGGTTGTTGATGATGTAGTATAATAGAGAGTAGCTATAATGTGAATATGTGGGTCATGGTGATTATTTCATACTGGTGGTTCGCCCATTGTTCTGGGTATTTATTATATTATGCATTAGTTATGCATTGATCAAAGGCACTGTGGCACTCACTGTGAGGTATTTGATGTGCTGTTTGGTTTTGGTTACTGTACTATTGTGTATGCCATGAGTCATGTTGTAACCGATCACCTTGTTACCTTCCAGCTCCATCGGATGTGGTTGTTTTGGTGTTGCGCATGCGCGTTGTGGCACTCGAGCGATATCCTGATGGAAATAGACGGCCCGAGGGGCCCAGCTGTCTGAGCTGCTACAAAGGGCTCCGAGGCCGTATAAATCGTGTATTGCCATCGAAAAGCTGCAGTATAGCCTATTTAGACGGAGGCCGTGCTGGCCGTCACCCGCGAAAGGCATTAACCTTCGGCGCGCATGCGCAGCGAGGGCAGTAGTCGTTCTGTTTTGTCTAGCTGTGTCTGTCTGTCGACGCTTATTCTGGCACTACAGGCTACGAGGCGGCCCGTTAGCGATACCAGCGGATTCAGAACTACGGGAGCCTGAAAAATTATTAGGCGATTTTCCTTGAAACTACGGGAGATGTGCCGTGAAAACAAGCGAAAAAGCCAAACTCGCACTGAGCTTACCACCTTGGGGGCTCAGGAAGTCACAACCAATGGCATGTATCGACTCCCGCATGCTATCTACTACTGTAGCTAGCCCGTGTCTGACTCTCCGCGGGCTACTAGCGGAAGACCACGAGTAAACGCATACAAATAGCCGGCGGCCGGCCCAGCCCCCATCAATTAGCAGTATCGCGAATGCGCAGTTCGCCGTGGGTTTGCTTTCCATTTTAGTTTATTTTTGCATCCCAGAGAGGCCTTTCATCGAAGAAACAGCGAGCTTGAAGTCGTCGCGGTGAGTTCTCGGCGACAGTGTGAGAGCGAGTATCTCTGCGCGGAAGCTTGCCACACCCCCATCGTTGCGCCATTTTTTGGCGGGCGTGTCCGTGGAAACACCACGTTTTCTGTAATCTGATTGGTCAATTTGACTCTGACGACATCTAAAGCGATTTAAATTGGTCGGTTTTGGTTCAATTTGACGGTATATACGACAAGTCTATATCACGATCGACGACCACACAGCAGTATCACAGGAGAGTTATAGCATGCAGAACGGGATGCAGTGCACGACTGAACGCCTCCTAAGACTCCTACTGGTAGCGTTTTGCAGCTCCCTGGCGCGGGGAGCAACTCGGCACCCGGTGTTATGGACACCAGAAGGAGTGGAGCGAATAAAGTAAGTAAGGCCGCCGGGCCACTGTAATTCGCCCACTCTCTGAGGCAGCCATTAGCGACGTAAGCAGGACGCACAGTTTTACAAGGCGTAGAGTCTCTGTACTGGGTCACCTGTACAACAAATAGCCTCCAGTCTCAGAGAAGGAGGGGCTGGTAGGCACCGAGACTGGCTAGCTAGAAGACTTGGCGTTGCATGCACGCCGTTTCTGAAGATGTAACCTCTAGCTAGGAGAGGGAAGGAGCCCAGTCAGCGTGTAGCCAGTGGTCTCCCAGTCCGCTTAGAAAATTGACTGAGAAACGGTGTATGCTGGAAATGAGAAAGCTGGACATGAAGACTGTCCTCTGAGTCAATATATGGTGTACTAAGCCGAACCCAACAGAATAATATTTTTGAAACTGCTGCAATTGATATTCATAATGTTGTTTATTGTTTGCTGTAGTAGAGATGGGGATTGGTCATGCAGGAGCCTTTCCCTTTCTCTTGTTTTCTATATAGTATCCTTTGTTGTGTAGTGGTGCTTTCTACTGTTCATATCCACTGTATTATTATTTTTAAAATGTGTCTTGTGTGCTTGTGCTTGTTGCAGGTCTGTGCTACCGTCCACCACAAGCACAGCTAGCGCGGGTGGAGATGAAATCACATCATAGTGTCCCGAGGCTCCTAATCTCCTCCACAACCTGGTCATCGGTAGAGTGCTGTGCAGCATAGCTACATACTTCACGGGACAGTATAGCTAACCTCTCTGGGGTTGCTTTTTGTTAAAAAACACTACATGGTGTGAGTGCACAAAAGTTAAGTGTATAATGTAGCGTGCATTTGTTGTGCGCATGTTATCGGGAGCTGCAACTTAAAATTCAATTGCGTTCAACACATAGTTTATCCCAGAAGAGATAGGTAGAGACAAACGCAGTCATGAAGGTGTAGCTTGTTTAGGTCCCGACGGATCATTGCCTACGTGGGTCTGTAGACAATGTGGCCTGATATAGAGTGACTAGTCAGTTATTGGCTCTGAGCTACTGCTCGTTCGATGTGCAAGTGTATGTGCTGGTACAAGCAATAGTGCTCGCGTAACTGTCATAATACAAGAATGCACATCCCAGCAGTTGCTTAGAAAGCTGTCTGTCTGCTTTTGCACTAGAAGGGATAGTCTGATATAGAGACACCGGTTCGACCATGTCGACACGTTTTGGGAAAGTTTTGGAGAACTCACACCCTATACGTCGCCCAAATGGGAATTGAGATAATCAGTTCTTACCCTCTGGCCACATGTTCCATACACCCCCTTGCACCAGCGTGCTGCCCGTCCAACGCGGCCCTCAACTTAAGTTGGCCACCGGTGGGCCGTTTTCATTCCTGTTACCCCCCCCCTTTGTGTACACGGTTACCCGCACCCGCCCCATGGAGACGGTCGTACTTGTTGTGCCGGTCGTTCATTTTCGACTCGGGAACTAGCTAGCTGGCGATACCAACAGTTCTGGGGACCCCTCCTAGCCTGTTTGGATGCGTCACATTGCATTTTGTGGAATGGTCAACACTGTCCCTGCATGCAGACCGCAAACTACTATGGCAATCCTGATCAGAAGTGTATGGTGGGGTTTCACGTAAGAGGAAGCTGAACC